TTCTGCGCATGCATTTTCTCCCTACCACTTTTCTATTTTATCTTTCTTCTTATAAATTTTCTTGAAAATCTTCGCTCACTCGTCTTTCATCATCCGAACTTTCAAGTTTGTTAGTAAAAAGATTGTTAGTAAAAAAGCTTGTTAGTAAAAAGTTCTCGATTTTTCGATTTTACCGCGTCTTCGTTTATTAAATTTTTGATTTTCTACGCGCCAGCAACTACCCTGAACAATCATAAGAAAATTGAGCAATAACCGCGCATGTTGTTGTCAACAACATATGGATTGAATTCATCCTACACGAAGAAAATTCAAGTGGCTCTTATGACGGAAGACAACCGGATGACAGGAGTCGAACCGGATTTTCTGCCTGTTGTTAAATTAACATCTCACGGTGCTGCAGGGATTTGCTTCGACATGGAATCGTGGCAAAAATTTCAAGAAAACATGGAAACGATGTTAACCTACTTAAGCGGTGATAAAATTAATTTGAGCTCGATTATCTTTAACAAAATAATTATAAATTTCACTATCGCATATGGTGCTAGAGCCATACTAATAGCGTATCGTGAAAACAAGCAAGAAGATCTTTCTTCCGAAACTGCGGAGGATGCGAGCGCAAACGGACCGAGAGCCAAGAAATGCAAAATTTACAACATTGCGATAGTCATGCAGAGAACGACTTTTCAAGGTCTAGAAAATATAGTTGATTGTGTGAACGCTAATTTAAATCGCCTAAATTTTATTTCAATTAATGTCAACAAATGTGCTCGATATTTAATTAACGAAATACAGTTAAATCTTCCTGTCAGCGGTAGCATCAATAGCAGTATCATGAAACTCACGAGAGGTAACAGTAAGGAAATAGAACGTAATGTACGCACCCAGCTAAAAAATTTAACATTTCTCGATGTATACTTTGAGATAACATTTTTAAAAATAATTTCACTTTATTTCGAACAAATTGTACATACAATCATAGCAAAACGTAAATTTTAATCATTATTCGACGAATATTTTCTTGAATTGTTTGTGAATAATTTTGTTCTGTAAAAATGTTTTAAATATAAATCATATTTGTATTTTTAAAACCATTGTTCGATTTTCTTTCACTTTCTCTTTCCAGAAATTTCCTCAACGTGCATGTTCCTGTTCACCTTCATTAAGCCGCGCGTTATTTTTAAATAAAATTTTTATTTGCCATCTTTTCAACAAGAAGCATTCTTTTTAATCTACGATGACGTATTATTTTTTATCGCGACACGAGTTAGTATGCTCGCCTGAACAAGTATTTGTCTGTTTTTTTATTACCCAGTATTGTCATCCACTATCTGCCACCGGTAGCTGATCCCTGTTCGACCGTATGACGCTTTTCTTGGTCAAACTGTTTTTTACCCCACCCCGTCCAATATCGGTCATTTTTCGACAAGCTATCCTTGCCAAACGTATACTCGACCTTCTGATTCGACGAGCTATCCTTGCCAAGAGCGTAGTTTGTGCAACTGCATCTTTAACCCATTTTCAGCCCATCCTCAGCTAAGAGCTAATACCCACCCCACATACCGTACTCTACGCATCTTTAGCATAAATGTCTCATCTAATCCTTAGGCTAGTAAGATCTCGTTTAGCTCAGCATACTAGGATCCTGCTTGGAAACGTGAAGGTTCCGGGTTCAAATCCAAAGAAAATCAGAAAAATAAAAAATTCTCATCCCCCTCCTCCCCCATTTTTCGGGCTAGTCGCCATTTTTTTCCCTCAACACTCGCAGTCGCAGCGGAAAAACCAGACGCTGGTGCAGTGGTGAGGGAAAGACAAGCCACGCCCACGGCGCCAGAGGGGCCGGTGGTGAGGATTTGTTTTGACGGACCATACCTGCTAATATACTACTGACCGAAATAAGTCAATGACCAGAAGGGTCACTTTTACTTTATGTACAGCCCGTTCACTCGGTAGTTCCTTTTTAGCAAGAGAATTTAATCTTTTTTGCATAAGATGGGACCTTGTGCGATTATTGGTGTCGGGAAAGGAACGAGAGGGGATTTATTTAATTTATTTTGATTTAACTAAATAAGTGCAGATTGATAGATAGACAATACATTTATTATTATTTTATTATCAAATTATTTACATGGTCACGAAACAAAGATTTTTATACATTTAAAAATATAAATTGTTCTATTTAAATACACATAATTGGGTGAGTGTATGTGTGTGTGTGAGTGTGGTAAAGGTTACGGGATTTCTCGGAATTAGATGGTGGAGCGGGGATATCGTCTTAATAAGACGCGGGCAGGGACGGCTAAAGGATATCGGGACCCGGAGACATACCAGGGGACATGATGGTATGTGGGGAGACGCGAGTTAAGGCTTTATGTTCCACAGGGCCTCGGCCGATGGTAAAGGTACCTTCTGGTATTAGCCTTAGCCTGGAGAACTGGGCGATCAATCAACCTCTAAATTCCTCTTTTGCTCGGGATGGGACCTTGTGCGATTTCTGGTTTGGGAAAGGAATAAGAGTGAGATTTTTTTATTTAATTAATTATATAGAGCTAAATTCATAATTAAAATTAAATTTATTTTTATCTTACCAAGAAGGAAGAAAAAAAATTTTATACATAAGAAATATTAAATTTACAGATCTTAATTCTACGCAAAACGTACATAAAGGTGCGTGTGAGTTTGTGTGTGTGTGTTTCGCGGGTGATACATGAGTACGGAGGTCTTCAATCGAGATAACGAGGGAGAGAGTAAATGTAATAAGGTGTTAATATTCCGATTGGATATTACAATAAGAGCTTAATAATAATTAATACTATACGTGTAAGTAGGTGTGTGAGAGAGGTCATGGGGAATCGCAAGGTTCAGAAGAAAGAAGAGGGAGGAAATGTTTAAGAAATTCTACAGGACATCCCAGAGGGGCTGGGCAATTCGGGATAACAAAAGAAATAAGGGTGCCAGGAGGACACAGTTCTGCTAGGCGTCTGAGGTATTCCTTATCGTAAAAACTGTCAGCGCCAAACAGATAGTGCCTTCGGGGAGAGGAAGATCAAAAGCGGGGAAGCTATTTACAATCCATTCGACAAGATCATTCTCGTCGGAAAATGGTCTTGTTCCTTGATTGTTTTTTAGAAAGAAGGTGTCATGGAAATAAGGGGGAATCTCTGGGGGGATACTATGGTTCTCACATTCGCATGGTTGCGTGTGAGGGAATAGTGGTGAGGAGGGAACTGGTAAGGATTCTACGGAATGGGTTACTTCCTCTTTTGTATCATCTACGAGATCGATTGTTTCGATCTCAAAAGATGTGGGGAAGTTCGGAGGGGAATTGTGAAAGTTTATGAGGAGGGGAGAGGGGGACCTGGGAGAGTCAGGGAGTTCGAAGGGGGGAGAAAGGATACGCCGGGTCTCTTCCCCAAGTCCTACGAACTCGGGTGAGATCAGCTGTGAGAGCCCCTGGTGTGACTCGTGCCACTTCTCGTCTCAACCGGCGATTCCGTTGGTTTCGGGTGTGCTTTATGGCAGCTCGCGACTTCCGGTTTTTAGGAATGTCCACTACGAATGTGAACATTTTAAAAATAACCGAATTTGGACTATCCGAGTACCCAAATAATTCTTAGATTCCCGAGAGAAGAGAAAGGGAGAGGGAAAATAAAATGTAAAAAAAATAATAAAATAAAAAAAGGGAAAAGGAAGGATGAGAGAGAAAGAAAACCATGGATCTCTCCGCTAGTGCGGGAAATCCACTATGATTCTAAAAGGAGGTGAGGAAAACCACGGATCTCTTTGCTAGTGCAGGAAATCCACTATGATTTTCGAGGAAGCGGAGGAAAACCACAAATCTCTCTGCTGGTGCAGGAAATTTACTGTTTTTCAAATGAGAGGAAGAAAACCACGGATTTCTCTGCTAGTGCAGAAAATCCACTGTGCTTTTCAAATGAAAGGAAGAAAACCACGGATATCTCTGCTAGTGCAGGAAATCCACTGTGCTTTTCGAATGAGAGGAAGAAAACCACGGATCTCTTTGCTAATGCAGGAAATCCACTATGATTTTCGAGGGAGAGGAGGAAAACCACGGATCTCTCTGCTAGTGCAGGAAATCCACTATGATTTTGAAGGAAGTAAGAGGGATAGAGGGAGATGCTGACTTATTAAAATCAGAAAAGAAAAGGAAACACATTTATAAGTATCTCAATTTGAGGTCTAAGAATTATTTGGGAAGTAACGAGTAATTATTGAGGGGACTTACTATTTATTGAGAGCGATGTTAACTCGACTCGGACCCAAGCTCTGGAATAGGGATGCAAACTATCAAAAAAAATTTGTTTGTCGATACTATTGATAGTTTTCAAGATCCTTGTCGATATTATCAATAAATATCAATAGTTTTATAAGTCGTTTTCTATTTTTTTAACTGATTCTTTGTTATATTTTTGAACTAAGTTTTATAATTAAACAAAAATAAAATATAATTAAATAAAAATGTGGCTATAAATATTATAAAAATAGAAGACAAATTTATATTAAATGTATATTCAAAATTTTATTGAATATATTTGTGATTACATTTTAAGTAAATTAATTTTTTTTTGTATTTCAGAGGTTAATCTAGCACGTCGATCACTTATAGCACGGGTGCCCAATTAATTAGTTTGAAGGGCCACATTTTAAATTTTGACTATTGACCGCGGGCCAGACTAATATCAAATTATTGCCCTCTTTGCGTTACCCAGGGAATACCACGTGGAGGTGTGGCAATGATAATCCCCATTTTTGTTTTTAAAAATTTTTTTTTGTTTTTTTTTTGCTTTGTTTTTAATTTTTTTTATGTTTTTAATTTAATTTTAACTGCTTTTCTCTAGTCCTATTCATTCTATTTTTGAAAACTTTTGAACTGTTAACTTTCAAATAATAATCATTGCTAGTTCAATCACATAATTATATAATTTTTATGTTTATGTGTTTTAATATGATTATATATATTTATATATTTTTCCAAATAAGAATTAATGTGAGAAGTGCGATTTGCTATCTTTAGCCAACTTGGTAAACTCAGGGTTGTAGCTAGTAGTAGCAGCAACCAAACAATCCTCAAGATGACGATCAGTTAGACAGTTTCGAAACTTGTTTTTCACGTAATTCATTTTTGAGAATGCAGCTTCGCAAACATAAGTTGATTCAAACATTGTCAATACAAAAGAACTTATCTTTCGTAGATTAGGATAAGTTTCACCGGGCAAAATGTCAATCCAAAACTTGGTTATATGTGTTACTTGATAACTTTCTTTTAATACACTGCTTTCTTGTAATTCGATAGTTTCCAGCTGAAGTTTAGCTTTGTCAATACCACTGAAAAGATGCATAGCTTGTGTAACCCAGTTACCATTGGGTTCCATAGAAAACGGAGTCTTTAAAGCAGTGAGTAAATCAGAGATTTGACTAAATTCTGAAAATCGCGAAGAAAATTTGATCTGCACTTTTTGTAAAAATTCGACAAAGATGTCCATGCCAATGTCTTCATTAGGATTGCTTTCAATATGAGCTTTTAATGAAGCAAAATGAAGAAATTCCTTTGAATTTAAATCATTTTCGAACAACTGCAATTTCCGCTGGAATGATTTTATTATTTCCCACATATCGCAGAGAACCTTATTCTTCCCTTGCAAATGTTTGTTTAGTTCATTAAAATGGAAAAACACATCATTCAAAAACCAAATTTTTCCAACGTTCTTTACGTCACTCAAGAATTGGAAGTACTCATTAGCAATCTTAGTATTTCTGGACTCAAGAAAACTGCGAATTTCTGGCAGTAAGCATATTAATCTGTTCAATACATTGCCTTTACTTAGCCAGCGAACATCATTGTGAATAAGTAGATCTATGTACTCGCTTTCACATTCTTGCAGAAATGCTTTTAGTAAACGGTGTTGTAGAGCCGAATGCGAGCGCAGGTAATTAACTATTTTCATAATTGCTGTCATGATATTCTTAAGATCACCAGAAAGCTATGCGCAAAGGACAGTTTGATGAATTATGCAATGCAAAGCAATAATCTTGGAATTTAGATTTTTTATGAGTGTAATAAAACCATTGATAGACCTACCAATCATAGCCGGCGCACCATCAGTTGCTATCGAAAGAATGTTATCAAACGAAAGATTGTTAGACTCCATGAACTTATGAAAATTTTTGAATAGTATTTCACCGGTTGTGCGATCGTAAAGTGGCAATAATGTTAAAAATTCTTCTTTAACTTCACTGTTCCAAAGATATCGAACATAAACTGCCATTTGCGAAATATCAGAAATATTAATTGACTCATCAATTGCAAGTGAAAAGAATTTTGCTTTCTGTAGATTATGCAAAATGTTTTCTTGAACTGATCTTGAGCAAGACTCAATTTTTCTAGTTGCTGTGTTGCGCGATAAAGGAATTTTCTTGAAAGTTTCGGATACTTCTTTCTTACTTTCAAAAAGCGTATTTACGGCTTCAAGTAAGCATAATTTAATTATTTCTGAGTGAGAATAAGGAATCATATTTTTCGCCATAATCCAAGAAATTCGTAAAAAAGTTTCAGCGCATTTTTCTTGCTCAGTCAGAGCACGTTTCATTATTAAATTTGATTGTTCACGTGACTTTTGAAGCGATGTTATTTTTTCATTACGTAGATATCCTTTTGGGTACTCTTTGTCATACTTAAAAGCATGTTTTGTATCGTAATGTCGCTTCAAATTAGCGGCCTTGTTAACCGCCACAGTTTCATTACAAATTAAGCACGTTGGTTTGGCATTTTTGTTATTAGAAAGGATGAAGAAATATTCTTCAGTCCAATGCAATTGAAAAGCTCGATTTTCCAAATCAACTTTACGACGCTTTGGCTCGGACATTTCGATGGTTAGAGAAGCGAAAAATGCAGTATGCAACTAATTTTGAATAAAACCGAATTGAAAATAGCAGTAGAAATAAGCGGTAAGCGATAGTGCCAGAAACTGAGTCCTCGATAGCAATAGTAACATAAGAAGGAATAGACAAGCGCGAACCAGCGCGAACCTGATTGCTGACCGCAGTAAGAGTGGAGGCTCGCAGTCACGCACACGAATGCACGAGCGTGCATCCACGAAGCGTCAGCGCATGATTGTGTGCCCCCACTCTTACGGTGTGCAGTGCCGTACGTCCCAATCTAGTAACACTGGCTGATCGCTCTTCCCATCGCTTTACCGCACGCCTAGCAAACGCGTAGCGGCCTTTTCGCCGCGCGCGTTTTACTCACGTGGAATTTTTTTAGAATACGATTATATTTAGGAATACGGTTGCTGGTGCGGGCCGGGTTGAAAAACTGTGACAAATTTATATTAAATGTATATTCAAAATTTTATTGAATATATTTGTGATTACATTTTAAGTAAATTAGTTTTTTTTTGTATTTCAGAGGTTAATCTAGCACGTCGATCACTTATAGTATTTCCAGCAGTGGAGTGAACCCTCTCCGATGGAACAGCTGTAGCTGGTACACAAAGGTTTTAAGGCACCGCACAAACTTATTAGCACGTATAAAGTTTCAACAGCAATTACCGATGTCGATAGAGACTTCTCCTTCTCCTTCTTGTTGACAACTATCGATAGTTGGTCTTGTCGATAGTATCGATAAATATCGATAAGCTTTGCATCCCTAACTCTGGAATCTCGGCTGGTTCGCTAGTGTTGGCGATCAGGTGGCGAATTGCACTCACAAGTTCGAGTTAGGGTGCGCGTTCAGCGAAAACTCTAAATACGAACTTTGCATGGAACTTAAAGAAAAGGTTCTCTGTACTTAAACTATCTGGCTGCTCGAGCGGTGTCACTTGCATATAAACCTCCTTGCTCCTTCTTCTCCATTGGTTTGTTAATATTTCCCAACAAATAGGAAGATTTTCAATGACGCCCTTTAGGTCCGGAGGCATCTCTTTGACTTTGAAAATTAATACAATTGGTTAAGACTTTTATTTAGAGCCTTAGGTTTTGACCAATGAAGAATTTGTTCTTATCAAGTGTCACGTCCCGCCTATTTTAAATTTTCGCTCTCAGTATAATTATTGCGCTCTATTCATATTCTCATAGGAATAAGATTATTAACAATCATTATATCTTACTAATTGCTCTAATTTGACTATTTTGGTATTAGTAGCTAAAACCGCCAGATCTGGGGTCCTCCGCCTACAAATTGTGACGTCCCGCCTATTTTAAAATTTTTCTCTCAGTATAATTATTGCGCGCTATTCATATTTTCATAGGAATAAGACTATTAACGATCATTATATCTTACTAATTGCTCTAATCTGACTATTTTAGTATTAATAGCTAAAACCGCCAGATCTGAGGTCCTCCGCCTAGGAATCAAGCATCTCTATCTAGTCCTAATCACGCAACCAATCAAGCACCATCTAGGGACCCCAGAGACAGCACGTAACTAGCGGAACTAACCAGATATTCCCTTACAGGAGCACTTATTGATACACCTATTACAATAATGTTAAACAATAAATAATAGGTATGATAAATATTAATATAATCAGGCACAAGATATAAAGACTAAAAATGTTAATCTACTCCTTCCTAAAGTAAATTGTAATACAACGCGATGTATTGTTAATTCCAAAACCACCTATTTTTTAGTCAGATTTACAGAATCGTACTCACATCAAAATTCATATGATAACTAAAAGAAAAACACTAATTCTTCCAGAGTTCATACCTAAAACGAAACACGATTCTGTAAGTACGACTAAGAATTACCCGAGTACACATTTGAATATGTAAGCCTTTCAATATTGCATTAATGAATTATGGATCCATAAATAATTATAGACTTTTTTATTAACTATAAATATCATATATTATAAATGAAATATGCCATAATTGATTGATCAATATGCGTAAAAAGATCAAACAAGGAGCAATAAATGCACCACTAGACATAAGTATTCGTAGAGATCGACTTGGCGACACGATGGCTTTTAATTTGACCTCGGTCTAACCCTCCTTCCGCATTCCTGAACTTTAGGAAAGAAACCAACGCTCTACGCCGAATCAAAGATTTAGAAAGCGAAATATTATCCTTATTATTATAAGTTATAACTCAAACTATCTAAAGCTAGCCCTTGAATCTTTTACAGAATAACGTTGCACGCATTTTAACAATAAAACCTCTCAATTATTATCATAATGAATACCTAAGGAATTACAATTTCCACATTTTGTAATGGCTTCTAGGGCACGCAATTTAAACCCTTAGTACAGATTATAACGATAAATATTAACGTTTTATAAATAAGCAATTTAGAAACTATTGTAAAAATTCCCATTCGATTATTAAAAATTATAATTATACTGCGCCAACAAATCATCTTTGCTGATGGACCATCCTCTTCGCCCCCTCTTCGATGATGCAAACTGAATTCCTACGGAACCGTAAACCTGTCAAAATCTAAGCACGCCTGGTCCTCCCAAGGGTATATAAACCGCGGATCTTGCGTCCTGCGAGCACTTTGTGTCAACTTCTAGAATAGAGCATTTCGTATTACTATTTTCCAAAGTCTACACTTAGCCGATTACGGTTAATCTAGTTTTCGTGTCAACTAGTACTTACAAGGAGTGGCAATAAAGAAACCGGACTCATGCTCTAATCCTTTATTGAAAAAAAATCAGACAATTGAAATGTTGTCCCCTTCAATGTAGTCCCCTTCCCGATCCCTACACCGCTCCATGCGAATTTTCCATTTTTGGAAGCAGTGCTGCAGGTCTTTTTGTGTTATGCTGTTCAAGAGTTGCGTCACTTTTTTTTACTGCATCCACGGACTCAAATCTGGTTCATTTAAGCGCAGATTTGACTTTCGGGAAGAGAAAAAAGTCGCACGGTGCTAGATCCGGCGAGTACGGTGAATGTTTCATCACTGGAATGTTGTTTTTCGTCAACTGCGCTCAAATGAACCAGATTCGAGTCCGTGGATGCAGTGAAAAAAAGCGATTACAAGAAGTAATCTCTCTTGATCTACCTCAAAGTTCCGGATCAATTGACAATTTTCAATATAAAATAGATTTATCACCAATCACCCTTGAGGAGATTGATAATATAATTAACGAATTAGTAGAATCGATTAAGAATTCCTATCAAGACTTTACACCTTTCGAGGAATATAATTTTTCTGCTGTCTCCCTACCAAAATTAGTAAGCTCAGGACCGCTAGAGTCTCACTTTGAAATCGACGACTATCCGACGTATCTAAATTTTTAGTAATTTCAACTCGTAATAATTTACCGGTTATTCTAAATGTTCAAATCCTTGATAATAGAATATTACTTTATTTTAGTAACAATATATTTTAATTTCCTATTTTATAGCCTAAATAAAAAATATGATTTCGAATTAATTTTAATTTTCCTAGACGCTATCGTACGTTCCTATGAAACATTCCCTATTTTTTCCTATGAATGTTCCTATGAAACATTTTTTCTCTACAACGTTCGTTTCGACTTGCCAATAAACCTTAGAATGGCATCCATCCTTAGTTTCAAACTTGCTTTTTTTTCCTCTGTAAAACAAATACATACACGTCAAAATAATGTCAATCTAATTAAACCTATAGAAAATTTAAGAGTTACCACTCATTGCAGCCTCTTGACGCGCGTGTCGTTGGAAAGATTCTTCGCGGCATCTTGCCTCCTCCATCTCGCGTTTTTTAAAACATTCTAATATTTTCCAATGACTTCTTGTCTTATCCACCTTCCACCCTGAAACACAAAATACGTCAACATTGATAAAATAAAGGAGTCTAACGCTTCTTATCAGGAAATAAAAAGGAAACTACTTCTAAATTACCTTCAGGCTCCTTAAAAATTTCATCTAAATTAAGATCGCCCTCCCACACAAGTTCCACGTTGACTCTCCTATCATTCCGCGCCTTCTGCATGCCGTCGGCATACTTTAGATACCTTTCCATATGTTTCAAAAGTCGTTGGGTAGATTCTTCGATGAATCTTGCCTCCTCCATCTCGCGTTTTTTCATGTATTCTAATATTCTACAAAGACGTCTCGGCTCGTCTACATTCCACCCTGAAACACAAGTATGTCGACGCTGATAAAATAAAGGAGTCTAACGCTTCTTATCGGAAAATAAAAGGAAATTACTCCTAAATTACCTTCAGGCTCCTTAAAAAATTCATCTAAATTAAGATCGCCCTCCCACACAAGTTCCGCTTTGACTTTCCTATCATTTCTCTCCTTCTGCATGTCGTCGGCATACTTTAGATACTCCTCCATAAGTGTCAAAAATCTCCACAAACCTCCCCAAAAAGCAGGCTGGAAGTTGTACAAATCTCGAGATCTAGCATCTCAAAGATATGAGTTATGCACTATAACTAATATAAATAATCTCTTAACGATACTCACATTCACGTCATAATAGATGATCTCCATCAGTAAATCCTTTTCATAGGCAATCCTCTCAGAATCGCCTTTTGTAATAATTACCCTCGTGATTGACTTTACTACTGTTACGTCTCGTGGGGTCGCGGCTGCGAAAATACGGATGCAGAGCTCGGCTCTTTCCACGAGACACGATCGCTATTACGGGTACGCGAATCTATGCGATTCTCCCCGGGGATACTCGCGATCTGAGGATATTCGTGCTGGAAGCGAGGTGGTCGAATTATGATGTAAAACCTATCTGTGACTCTACTGTTATGAAGATAGCTTCGTCGACCGCTCTCGGCGAGACACTGTTTGGGTCGCGTAAGTAATCTTCGTATTTAAATTGGCATGCCTCGCACAAATCGCCGGCTCGTGTGAGGGTGAGCCGATTGTTGCAAACCCCGCAATTTATTCCGACGAGTATTCCGCCTAAAATTAAGCTATGCTTCCGAATCCTTGCCCAGAGTAATTTCAAAATTCTAGGTAAATTGGCGTAACACGAAAGGCAGAGAGCAGCCTTGGTCTCGAAGTGAATGTATCCGACACCGACTTGACAATAAAATAAGGGTAGAAGTGGCGCTACAGAGGTAACCTCTGGAGGAGGGGTTATATCTCTAGGCAGAAACGGGCACATCGGCACGTGAGAACCCTTGAGTTAGTTGTCGTTTATTTAAACTATCTAGTAAAAAGAATCGCGCTGTTATTATTCTAGATTTTAGAAAAATCGGAATATTTTATTCCTCTGCGTTTCGTATTACAAAGCGAAGGGTTGCAGCGCACGTGGTGGTCGACCCTATTTTATGACTGACCCCTATTCTAGTTTTACGACTGACCCTTTTTTTCTAGTTTTACGACTGACGCTCTTTTTCTAGTTTTACGACTGACCCACTTTTTTAGTTTTACGACTGACCCTTTTTTTCTAGTTTTACGACTGACCCTTTTTTCTAGTTTTTTCGACTGACCCTTTTTTTTTACTTCCGTAGTAAACGCTCGAAGGAAAAAGAATGCGTGGGAGATTTTCTCGAATATTCCTCTCCACGTGGCGGTAGCGTCTCTGATTTTATTTAACAAGCGCGATTTCTCAAATCAACGTGAATCTCACTTACCTTCAACAATGTCTCCCTGATGGCGTCGGCTCGCTTCTGCAGATAGTGAGTGCGGCGAGGGTCGTCTTCCGGGATGTTTAGTGGCGGCAGGCGTCGTTGCAGGAAAGTTATTGGTACTAAATTGCACGACAGGAACTCGTCGTTGTTATCATTGTTTATATTGTTTTTAATGTTAAAAATCTTCTCGTACTCAGGATCGGCCTGGTACTCTACGCCAAGAAACCGAGAAAACTGTTCGGTCACAGATTCCCGATAAATACGATTTGGTTTGCTCAATTGATTTTTCCTTCCCGCGCGTCGCGTTTTAGGCATGGTGGACTCGAACCGGAGACATTCTCTGATCAACCGCTTCAATAAAGGTGGTCGATGTGCGGCGGACCTCACTATCGGTTCTTTATTTTAGCGTGTAAAGAGGATGTTAATTCGGGCTGTGATGAGCGGCTGTCCGCTTCAAGCACAGTTTGAATTGTTCCGAATTCGAAATACAATGCCGTGTTGCAGATTTTTGTTACTAGCGCGTTTTATTGAAAGAATGGATTTTGTAGAGAAATATGTTAAACACTTATCTCACAAGAACACACTGGTTTATTATGAAATAATACAAGGTATATTTAGAATAAAATTCGAACTTAGGATTTAGAGTTAGAATTAAAATTAGATGTAGAACTTATACTTTTAGAGTTAGATTTAGGATTAGAGTTAGGTTTAGAAGAGCAAGTGTATTGCTTGGAGTCACGCGATGAACTGACGAAATTCAAGACTGCTCTGAGGTCCTTCGTTTCGGCGGCTCGGGCCTGCGGCGGCCGAGAGAGAGGGTACTCTCTAGAGTAGGGGGTCTTGCCATGGTGGAAGATCCCGAGGCGCTACGGAGCGCCGCGCTTAGTTGCTAGGCGGAGTTAGGAGTCATGGCCGGCATTGGCGCGCTTTTCAAACAGCCTTTGATGAACTTTAGTTTTATTTATTAAGAAATGAAAAAATTTATAAGGCCGGATGTGACACTACGTATCTTCTCACTGGCCTTGTTTACATCGTATAGACTTTTAGTACAGATTAAGCTAGTGCGCATCAAACGTTTGATTCAAGTGCGTTTACATCGCACAACGTATGTTTGTAGTGAAATGTCAAAAGTCAGAACCACGAGCTTCGTGTTCAGTGATCACCGGAACGCAAACATTCATTTGTACGTTATAAAAATTAAAAATGAATGTAGAAAATAATATTGGAATTTTATTTTCCACTCTGTTCGAACTTTTAAAAATCCTTCAAGATAATCGGAAGAAACATATACGGCAATTATTTATTTGTAAACGATATGAATTAAAAATAAAGTTACAGAGGTTATGTTTACAACAAAGAAATGAGTTATTAATGAAGTAGTTACAAATTAATAATTCTATATCAATACCACTAACAATGGAAGGTATAAGATATCGAAGAATGTGGCAATTAGAGAGAAGTTCCGATTTTTGGAAAAGAATTGTGAATATTTATTATACTCCAAAAGAATGGTTGGAAAGTTTTCGCATGACAAAACTCAGCTTTTCTGAATTATGTAATAAACTCAGAAATGAATTAGAACCAAAACCACAATATCTGAAACCAAGAGAACCTTTATCTGTTGAAAAACAAATAGCTGTGGCTTTATATAAATTAGCTAGCACTGCAGAATATAGAGTTATTGGCAATACGATGGGTATCCATAAATCAACTGTTAAAAAGTGTGTATATAAAGTAGTTAAAGCTATTAATCAAATTATGCTTCAAAATTATATATACATGCCTCATGAAAAGGAGGCTAAATTTATAGCTCAAAATTTTGAAGAGAAATGTGGTATTCCACAAATTATTGGCAGCATTGATGGGACTCACATTAAATTATTCCACCAAGTGAAGGATGTAGAGATTTTGTTAATAGAAAAGGATGGCCTTCATATAATGTTTTAGCAGTAGTCGATTATAATGGAAGGTAATATTTTTTTCTTATATTTATCTTAACTTTTTTTGTCTTATTCATTGTTTCAATTGCTTTTATAGGTTTAGAATATTGTGGCAAAACATCCGGGAAGTTATCATGATGCTGCTGTTTTAAAAGATAGTACTCTTTATAAGAATTCTAATACAATAATACCTAAGGTAATATATAGGACGAGAGATTTTATATATATAATTTTACAAATAGAAAATAAAAAAACTCATATAATACTAAATTATATTATTATATAATATTACAATTTTATGCTTTTTAGGAAACTCAAAACATTAATGGAATGGAAATACCCTTTATGATAGTTGGAGATCCTGCTTATCCGTTATTGCCATGGCTTTTAAAAGGATATTCTGGTTCATTATCAGCAGAGCAAGAATCTTTCAATGTATATTTAAATTCTGCTCGAGTGTCTGTCGAAATGGCTTTTGACAGATTAAAAGCAAGATGGAGAATTTTGCATCAAATTAACTGTGACTACATATTTGCGCCAGAAATAATTGTAGCTTGTTGTATATTGCATAATTTTGTTGAAAGCAAACAAGAAAGATTCTATTCTGAATGGTTACAAGAAGCTGAACAATTACAACTCTTAACACCGCAACCAACATGTGCAACTAATTATCAAAGAGATTCAGTACAAGGTACAGAGTTGCGAAATCATTTGAAAGAATATTTATCACAGAATTTTTCATTGAGAAAAGCATTAATACGACCATAAGAAGTGTTTATTATTTAGTGTAGAATTGTGAACCCTATACAATTATAAGATTAAACGAACTTACCTGTAAGTAAAGTTCTATCTTAATTGTATGAAGCGCCTCTTCCGAAGAGATCAATCTGTAGTACCCCTACTTTACACCGATGTCGCCACAATTTTTAAAGTCTAGAGCTTTTTATGCCTTTACCATCTCGGTATATCCGCGCATATTTCATTCGTATTCAAAGTGCTGTTGCCGTAAATTCTTCTAGGGAAAAAAAACTCGAATTATATACACACATATAATATATATAGGTATTCGAGAATCGGGGAGTGTTTATACACTGGGAGGGATTGATCTCTTTGGAAGAGGCGCTTCATACAATTAAGATAGAACTTCACTTACAGGTAAGTTCGTTTAATCCTATAATTGTATTTCGCGCCTCTTCCTCGAGATCAATCTGTAGCTGTTCAAAGCCTATTTACGGCAAATATAATATGAATTAATTATCATCAATGAAATACAACTCTTATTTATTTATAACCTTATAACTATACTATACATAAATATAAAACATGGAACATAATTCCGTTTACACATGGTTCCTTCTTTTTTTTTTATTTTTTTTTATTTTTTTTTTATTTTTAAGATCGCCATTGCATATGCATCTTTTTGGTTTATAATAGGACGATTATAAAAACGTGCAAATGTCTGAGAATTTTCTGTCCATCCCGCAGTCTTGAGGATAAAATCGATAGTTATACCTTTTCGTTCAGCGGCTGATGTGGATGCACGCCTCGTGCTGTAAGCACTAAACACAGAGGTATCCACGCCACTATCAGCTAACATCGATTTTATCCATCGACTTAGAGTCTGAGTCCCCACATGCTTGTGGGGCTTTTTCGAAGAAATAAATAATTTATGTTCACGGTCACGAAGATCTTTAGTTGTTTCTAAGTAAATTCTCAGGGTGGAAGCTGGACAAATTCTTGTATCTTGGTTGAAAAAAGGGATCACTAAAGTGGGTTGTATTTTTCTTAAACCTGAAGTTTTTAATTGATCAGAGATCTTTATCTCATAGCTGTTATTGCAAACCTTAATGTTGCGAATATCTATTGCCGCGAGAGTCTGGATACGGTGACCGGTGACAAGAGCCAACAAGGTAGCTAACTTTTTTGATAAAATATCTAATGAAATAATATTATTTAACCCTAACTTTCCAAGATATGTTAAAACTATTTTTGGGTCCCAAGTACAATCGTATTTTGCCTTGGGTGGTCGCAGCTTATAAATACCTCTAAAAAATCTTCTAATATTATCATTATCTCCCAGGCCCGGACCATGTATTAATGCAATGGCTGATCGAAAGCAATTGAGGGTGCCATACGAGGCCCCATTTTTATATTTCACAGTTAAAAACTTTAATACCAGAGGAACTGATTTCATAGAGATCTAAACGATGGACAGCGCAAAATTTCCACCATTTTTTTAAGCCACCGTTGTATTGTTTTACAGATGAGACGGTGAGTGAAGATATCATGATATCTATTGATTCTGAAGGGATCATCTTTAGTTCAAATGCTGTCCTGATATAATTTCTGCAACCAGGGTAATTCTTTTCCAAAGAGGATGAGGTTCCCTGTCCAAGGATTGCAGAAGATTAATATTAGGCTCAAAATAGATGGGAGAAGACTCAAGCATTGACGTATATACAGGAAACCAAACCTGAGCTGGCCAAAATGGGACAACCAAAATTCCCTTGCTCCGTTCGTACCGAATTTTTTCAAGAGTACGCAAAATGATTGAAAACGGAGGGAAAGCATAGAAAAATTATTTTTTCCAACAACCAGTAAAGGCGTCAACTCCCATTGCGCCAGGATCTTTTTTTCCCGACCAATATTTTTTACATTTCGTGTTTGTTCTGGTGGCAAATAAATCTATTTCTGGCTTACCAAAATGTGACACTATCTCCCTAAAGGCTGACTCTGATAAGGAATATTCTGTCTCAGGTTCTAGTCGACGTAATTCGAAATCTGCCTCAAAATTTTCTTCTGATGATATATAGCTAGCAAATATCCAGAGATTTCTCTCTTCACACCACTGCCATATGTCTTTTGTGATTTTTGCTAGTTTAGGAAAACGGACGCCTCCTTTTGTGTTAATATAAGCTATGGCAGTGGTATTGTCTATTCGTAACAAAATGTCACAATTTTTTAACTTATCTGCAAAGCATTTGAGTCCAAACCAGGCTGCTAGTAACTCTAAATAATTTATATGATACTCCTTTTCTCTCTTATTCCAATGGCCATGAGCGCGACCTTGATTACAGTACGCTCCCCAATCTGTTAAAGAAGCATCCGAAAAAATTTCAATAGATGGATCAAAACTTTTTATCTGATTTTGAGCTCTATTAATATTTTTGAACCACCAATCTAGATCTTCTTTTAAATCAAGCGATAATTCCATGATTGCTTCATAATTATCATTATTATATTCAAGGGATAGGAACCTTTTTCGTTCAAAATTTCTTAGATAAACTCTAGCGTACTTCAAAGTCAAACAACAGGAAGCTAATGTTCCAATGAAGGACGCAAACTCTCTTATTTTACACTGTTTAAGAGCTTTAAATCTTTTGATTTTTAATTTCACTTTTTCTTGTTTATCTTTTGGAAGTTCTATAATCATGTGTTTTGAATCATAAATATTACCAAGAAATTTGCATCTAGTTGATGGAATTTTTTGACTCTTTTCCTCGTTAATTAAAAAACCTAACTTCTCCAATAACACGCATGTCACCCTAACGTTTTTTTGGCATTTTGATAAGGATTTTTCTATAATTAATATATCATCGAGATATATAACTGATATATATCCTAAGCTTCGTAAATGAGATACAACAGGTTTCATTAACTTTGTGAACGTGTATGGAGCAGTATTCAAGCCAAACGGTAAACAAGTAAATTCATAATATTTTCCTTGAAAACTAAACCGTAAAAATTTTTGATCTAATTCCCTAATTGGGATTAAATAGTAGGCATCTCTGAGATCGATTGAAGCCATGAAACAATTGGGAGTTAACAACCTTTTGACAATCTTTTCATCCTCTAATTTAAAATGCTCTGTGTCAATGAACTCATTTAGCTTTTTTAAATTTAAAATCAATCGATAAGAGTCATTAAGAGAGGTTAGGAACTAAAAAAATGTTTGAAATAAATTGTTTTTTAGTAGGAGTAACTTGAACAATAGCACCTTTTTGAATTAATTGAGATAATTGTTCGCGTATTGCAACAGACTCTTGTGATGACCAGTGAGGTTCCACGGGTGGAATATTTTGTGTGACTTTTGATACAAAAGAATTTTGTACCCCTGATCCAGCTCAGAATGAGTTTGTCGGAGGTAATCTCTGACCAGTTTTCACGAAACTGCTTAAGCCTACCAGCTATCTGTCTTACAGTGGTTTTTTCGATGACCTGCTCTTTTCTTGTGTTGATCGACGGCCGGAATAAGACTTCTGTTTCTGATATGGTTTGCGCCCGCTCGCCGTCCAGGTTTGTGTTGACCGGTATGCTGATTGACGGCGAGTCGGGCCTTTGAAGTTTTTGCTCGAATTTGATTCTTTTGATTCTGCTGAGTGGAAGGTTTGAGAGCTTTACTTGATGTTTCGAGAGTCTTTGCTGCTTTAACCTTATCGTCCAATTTCTCTCCAAACAACCATTCGTCAACTACTGTCGCAGTAAGAGCCTCTTTTAACGATGTATTAATATTCGTTAATACGAGACTACGACGAATGTTAGATTCTTCACGTTGAAGGTCTGCCAGAAGATGAAAAATACCCCATAATAATTCTATTACCTCCCTGGTTGGTAATTTCTCATCCTCTTTGAGATTCGTAACTTTAGTGATGACTTCCAAAATTCCAGCGAGACTAGCTGTTATTCTCTTCTGTTTGTCAATAATTCGGCTGTCTCTTTTAGTTATCGACTCTTGAAGAGTCGCTTGCAATTCTGGATTTAGTTTAGGAGGATCCAACATGAGACAGTTTTGAGGGGACAAGAATTTTTCTAGTAATTCTTTTCTTTTTTCGGCAGGAAGGCCTTTCTTTATGATTTCATCAACCCCAGCTGCAACCTGCGGATGGACTGGAAGTGCAAATTTTCTGTCTGGATGAATTCTGGCCCCTATGACCTGGAGAATATCGGGATTTAATTCGTTTTCTTCTACTGGAGGAGCTGGAGCTGCAGCTGATGACTGTGACGTTGGAGTTTTAATGGGAGGCGGAAGTTGAACTGGTGACTTTTCTCCATCATTTGCCTTGAGATCACAGCCTTGAGATTTATGAGAGTTGACTGACATCTGAAACCTCCGAGTTTCTATCAGTGGAACTCGAATTCTGTTGTCCTTGATTCTGGCTGTGACTGCGAGATCGATCATAATATCTATCATGTCTGCTTTTGCGTGTAAGACATTGATCACTACTTGGACTACGTTCACGACTGTAATCGGAACAAGCGTTATAATCATAACGATTACTTTTGTGACGCTTGGTATAGTAACGTCTCTCATATTCGTCATCATTTTGATTCCAGTATCTGCGAAGTCCTTTTGAATCACCTCTGTTCTTACCTGTGTATATCAAGGAAAAGGTAGGTTAGGTTTGTGAAAAAAGAAAAAAATATATAGACCAACACGACTGTACGCTTACTCAACCCGGGTTAAACCAAGGTGTGAGCTTTTTTTTTTTTTTTTTTTTTAAGTCAATTGGACCGACCTGATGGGATTGTGTGTGTGTTTCTCGCATTGTCAGTGTCGGTTGAACCGACCTGACTGCGTGTTTATCATATCTACACATCTCAGTTGGACCGAGATATGAGATTAATATCAGTTGAAAAAATACCGTTCTGATGGGGTTATATGTGTTCCTCGCATTGTCAGTGTTGGTTGGACCATTCTGACTGCGTATTTCCCTCATCTACACATCTCAGTTGAACCGAGATATGAGATTAACGTCAGTCGAAAAGCTGACTCGTTGAGGTTATGTATATATTTTATATATATAGCCAGTGCCGGTTGGACCGACCTGACTGTCTTTTTAGAAACACACAATGGCCGTAGCAACGTTCTTTCTTTATTTCCTTATACCTTGTATGAAGGATATTAACCTTCGTTGGACGTTAACCTGTAAATACACTTATCACGATAATTCTTTCGATTTTCTTTTTCTTGGCGTTTAATTTTTTCTTTCAATCGTTCGACTTCCCTTCTCAAGTCGTCCTCGTTATTGTCCTTTCTTGATAAATGTCTTTTCCTTTTATGAGACATCTTTTTCTTGCTGATAATATTTCGGTATGTGACGTATTCGGCACAAAGAAGAAGAATGAAATATGCGCGGATATACCGAGATGGTAAGGGCATAAAAAGCTCTAGACTTTAAAAATTGTGGCGATATCGGTGTAAAGTAGGGGTACTACAGATTGATCTCGAGGAAGAGGCGCGAAATACAATTGCATATTACATTTTTGTAACATTATTATTATTACATTTTTGTAACATTATTATTATTTATAAAATTAAAAAATTAAATAAATTTTGTTTATATTGCTTTATTTCTCTACAGAATTCTCTAAGGTATGATTTATAAATTAATTTGCTTATAAAAATATAGATATCACAATATTACTTTTTATCAGTCTTAATAAACTATACGTATATAAAAATAAACATATTCCTTACAGCCAAACAAATTTTTTAAAACTACAAGTAAATAATCATATTTTGGTGAGTTACATTATAAAATTTGTATCTTTACAAAATATCAAAAGAAAAGAGCTTATACTATATTGCAGTCATCGAAAAATTAAAAAAAATAACTTCCACTTTGATGAAAAGTAATATGTAATACGGTGTATCGATACACCGTATTACATTATGTTTCTGGTAAATTTTCTTTACCAATAGTTTCAGTTGTTTTGATAGTTTCAGTGATTTTCTTCAAAATGTTCCCTGAAGGATCTGCTTGTGCCATTTAAAATCGTAAAAAATGTCTCATTCCTCTTTGTATAAAAATGTCTATTAATTAGTAAATATTATTTAAAACTTACAGGAATCAATTTTAAGGGTGTATAATTATGTGTTAATGTAACTGGTATTTGTGGTTTTAAAGAATTAATACTCTGTGATTCATTTGTTCTCGTTGAAACTTTCGTTCTTTTTCCATTTCTTGTTCTTCCCAATCTCTTTGTTTTTTCATTTCTTCTTGAATGAATATCTTTTGCATTTCTTCTTGTCGTTCCAACATTGTATTTAACATTAACTTCTGTGATTCTAACCACTTATTTGTATAATTTTCTAAAATTGCCTTATAACTTTTTCTTCCTGTATAATAAAAGTATAAATTATTAATAAATAATAAAATTTATTTATTTCTTCAACTATAAACTAAAAATGATATTTTATAGTTTTTACCGTTACATTGTCGTCTTTTCTTCTTAGGCATTTCATTAGTGTCTCCTTCTTCTTCTTCTTCCACTATATTACAGTTATTAATTGCTTCGTTATCAATATCTCCAGTCTCGCTGTCTTCTACAAAATGTATAGATTTTTATGTTTTATTATAAGATTCAAGTATGAGTGAGTTTTTTTTCTAATTTTATTTAATATCAATTTTTTAATTAAACAAAAGTTTTTTTAGAAAAAAACATTCTTAAATATTAATAATAATTTTGCAAACTTACCATTAACTATAGAAGCTGTATCATTAACTGTAGAAGCTGTATCAATTCCGGAATTGCTTGAACTGGCTTCTGCAGTTGGTCTACAACCATATAATAATTCTAACTCATTATAAAAGGCACAACGTGATGTTGCAGCTCCACTGACATTATTGTCTCTTCGACATTTAAAATATGCAAGCTTCAAATTTTTTAATTTTAATTTCATTTAGTCTGCTGTTTTCCCATAACCTCTCTTTTCCATTTCTGGTTCAAGCATTTTAAATATTTCAATGTGTTTATGTTTCCTTCCATCCATGATGGCTAAAATTTGTTTTTCTATACACAATTTCAGAAAACATCTTGTTTCTTGTTCTGACCAATTTGGACCTTTTTTACACGACATAATTATTTAAGAGTTAGATTAAGAGAATTAGATTAAAGCAGCGAGTCGATATTTTACTACCAACATACAAAGATTTTCAGTATTGGCAACGATTTTTGAAACGCAGCCTTAATATTCTAGTGTTTACAGCGGTATGTTTGTATTTAATATGCGTACTATTTTGGTACGATACGCCATCACGAAACGTATCGTACCAGCTTAATACGCTATCGTTTACATCATCGTACTAAGCTATTTTGGTACGAATATAGTACTTGATACGCGTACCAAGTGCTCGGTGTAAACAAGGCTCCTCACAAACTAGAGTCCGCACTATGCACCGGCAAAATAATGCGAAATTTCTCTAACCCCTACAACCTGTGGAATTTCACTCCCCCTACTCTTGCCATACTTTCTTTCATGTTTTACGATCGCTTCTCGATTCCTATTTGAAAACCCCAAACAATAAATGTTACGCGTTTTCTTCACCGGATAGCCCGCCGGCCGATTGGCCGGAGGATTACCAGCCCTACGCTCGAGCAAGCGAAGATTCCGACGATGGGCCGGACTATTTATCAAGCGACGGGCCTTCTCGGTCTGATCTCGGACAGATGAATAGAATAATTATTAACAGAATAGATATATATATATATTAATATATATACATATATATTGGAGGAAAAGAATCTCTTTCTCACCTGACAATATTTATCGGAGGAGCCAGCCAGCGCAACTCAAAGAGCCTGGTGCCTCTTCATCCAGGGGTTCTGTTCAAACAGCCACCCCAGACTGAAGATGTTCTCGTCTCCTTCCTTCCACAAGGCCTCCAGCTCCCTACTCGTTGAAGTCTTAACCTGACGGACCTCGCGTTTTTTCCTCATGTTGACGAACCCCGTGATGTCTACGTCCGAGATTGCCCTCGCCTGGAATAAACAAAATTTATAATTTATACATATATATATATATATATATATATATATATATATATATTCAATCCTCTGTTACAGAATATTATTACTTACATCGATCGGCATCTGTATCTCGAGGGTGGTCTTGGAAAATATGAGACCCAATTTCCACGAGTTCTCCTGGGTAGTTGTTACGAACCCCCAGGGTTCTTCTACCTTCTGGACGGTATCCTGGAGCTTGGGCTCGAAGAACTCCTTTAGGTGGAAGGAGCCTTCCTCCCAGGCCTCCCACCTTTTCGCGCTCTTTTCCCTCCGCCATTCGCGCTCCTCCATCATCCTCAATTTGTATGGAAGATTCATAAAACTATCTACTCGTGTCACTGAGCCTTCCTATAAATACCAAGTGATTGATTATGAAATATAATTAAAAAAAAAAAATTATTTCTCGCTCTTACTTTTTATCAGAATTAGTAAGCTCAGGACCGCTAGAACTTTCCTCTGAAATCGACGACTATCCGACATATCTAAATCTTTAATAATCTCAACTCGCTATTATTTACCGGTTATTTAAAATATCCAAATTTTTGATAATAGAATATTATTTTATTTTAATAATAATATATTTTAATTTCATATCTTATAGCCTAAATAGAAAATATGATTTTGAATTAATAATAATTTTCCTAGACAATATTATACGTTCTTATGAAACATTCTTTATTCCTAAAATTCCCCAGATCCGAAAAGTCAATTCCAGCTCTCGGCGTACCCAGGGTATAGTCGGTGCATGCAGATTGCTCTAAATAAATAGAGAGCTAACCCTTTCTTCCTAGACCTAGAGCAATAGAGGAGGAAAGAAGGTCACTCGGACGTGACATTTCAAAATTTTGGTGGCAGCGGTGGGATTATGCTAAAGAACTGCTTAAAGATCTTTCGAAAAAGGAATAGATATTATTACTATCAATCCTAACATTCGGATAATTGAATGTGACTTGAAGTTCGACCAGATTGTCGCTAACAAAGAGAGTAGCAACAGTCTATTACGATTGAACTTTATGGTTACTCATTTTTCCGATTGAATATATGTAAGAGCTTAATCAGATTGTCGCTGACGATGAGTGTAACAACGGCTGATTATGATCAAATTTTGTAATTACATCTAGTTCTTTAAATTCAATTAGCATTTTGATCATTGCTACTGCTGAAAAGTGTAGCAGCAATTATCACTGTCGCTAACAAATATGCGTGGCGATGGTTGATTAAGATCAAATATAGATAACATAACCTTTTTCGATATTAGTAATATTAGTTATTATCAATCTGAGATTTTGTTCCGCGGTCACTATCAAAAGATATGTGATAGCGTTTACCGTCGCTGACAAATATGTGTAGCAATGGTACCTAAGAAATAAAATCTCATATTGTACGAATTATAAATGCCTAAATGTGTGAGGCGGACGTCGAGTCCAATTAAAAAATATCAAATTTATTATCAAACAAACCTTCTCTTCTCAAGATCTTCTTCCATGTTTGCCGAATTAAACAAATTCGAAAATCCTAAACCCCAATTCAACGAGATTCAGAGTCCTTATAATCCAAATATTGACTTAACTAAATCCGATTCTAAACTTGACATAAACCTAAACATTGACTATAAGCCGATTTCCATTGAATTTGAAAATAAATACCCAGATTATAGAATCATTCCGAAAAACGATCCTCGCCGAAAGACTTATAAAATTTTCGAGCTATTTGATCCTGAGTAACAATAAGATAGTAATAATATGTTAATTTTAAGTTGACTCAATAACTTTTGCATGTATTATATAATATCTGCTTACTAGTCTATTTTTGTTTGTTCTCGAAATAAGTATAGTAAGTAATTAACCATGCCTATGACACGATCACAAGCTTCTAACGCCCCGTCGGAAGCCGGCGACTGCTTGTCACAAGCGGAAATCGAAATCATGGGCCGAATGGCTAATGATAGAGAGAAGAAACAGAATAAAAATTTTGAAGAGCACGACTCTGTATTAAACCTTATACTCAAACAAATCGCTCGATTAAATGCCTTGCCTAAACAGATAGACATTTTAAATCGACGTATTGACAATATTCAAGTCCCCGATCTAGCTCCTAATCAGCGAGAAAACCCCCCTTTGATTATCAGCCTGCTGAAAACCCTCGCGGGCCCAGCCCATCCCATACTACTTCTCCTATTCGCCTCAAGGATGTAATCGATTCAATTCCTAAGTACGATGGTCATAAAATGTCTTTTCCATTTCAGTAAAATTTGCGAGCGAGCCCTTGACTTAATACCCCGTCACCAAGAACGATATTTAGTACAATTTATTATTAACAAATTACAAGGACATGCTTATACAGCCATAGAAGGTTCTGAATACGAGACTGTTTTTGCATTAACAAAAAGATTAAAAGGAGTTTTCGGCCCCAATAAATCCGTAGATCAATATCGCGGAGAACTCGCGAACATTTTCATGAAACCAAATGAAAACATTCTCGACTATATTGAAAGAATGAAAGAATTGATGCAATAATAGACGGACAGACTAATTATAATGGTTATATTGTGACGACCCGTTCTGTCGTCACTAGAAGCCGCGCAAGCACGAGGCCGACCGTCCGCCCGCGCTCATATAAACGGCCCCTGTCGGGGCCACCACACATCGAACACGTGGGAATTTGCCTTTTCGCCCCACCCGACCGAACCGCCCCACTCCAAGCTAGTTGGAGGGGGCTGGCCGACGGGTATATAAAGCGGCGCAGCCGAGACTTCGAGACCAGTCCCGTCCTGGTCTCTTGAGCGTACTCAAGGACCACTCCTCACCTCCTAACCATCCCGGGCGACGAGCGTTCTCGTCGCGTAAGCCGAGCGTTCTCGGGCACCGGATCCTCTCCGAACATCACCCCGGTCGACGAGCGTTCTCGTCGGGCAGGCCGAGCGTCCTCGGTCACCGGATCCTCTCCGAACAGCACCCCGGTCGACGAGCGTTCTCGTCGGGCAGGCCGAGCATTCTCGGTCTCCGGATCCTCTCCGAACATCACCCCGGTCGACGAGCGTTCTCGTCGGGCAGGCCGAGCGTCCTCGGTCACCGGATCCTCTCCGAACATCACCCCGGTCGACGAGCGTCCTCGGTCACCGGATCCTCTCCGAACAGCACCCCGGTCGACGAACGTTCTCGTCGGACAGGCCGAGCTTTCTCGGTCTCCGGATCCTCTCCGAACATCACCCCGGTCGACGAGCGTTCTCGTCGGGTAGGCCGAGCGTCCTCGGTCACCGGATCCTCTCCGAACAGCACCCCGGTCGACGAGCGTTCTCGTCGGGCAGGCCGAGCATTCTCGGTCTCCGGATCCTCTCCGAACATCACCCCGGTCGACGAGCGTTCTCGTCGGGCAGGCCGAGCGTCCTCGGTCACCGGATCCTCTCCGAACAGCACCCCGGTCGACGAGCGTTCTCGTCGGGCAGGCCGAGCATTCTCGGTCTCCGGATCCTCTCCGAACATCACCCCGGTCGACAAGCGTTCTCGTCGGGTAGGCCGAGCATTCTCGGTCTCCGGATCCTCTCCGAACATCACCCCGGTCGACGAGCGTTCTCGTCGGGCAGGCCGAGCGTCCTCGGGCACCGGATCCACTCCAAAACATCACCCCGGCCGACGAGCGTTCTCGTCGGGAAGGCCGAGTTTCCTCGGTCACCGGATCCTCCGAGAGCCACCGACATCTTGCGGAGCTCGCCCTTCTCAGGGCGCCCGAATCCAAGGCGGTTTACGGAGCTCGCCCTTTTCAGGGCGCTCGTATCCACGCCGCGTTGGGTAAATTTCGTCCGCCACGCTACTATCTTAGTTATAAGTCGTGTCCGCGTCCGTATGATTTGGTCGCGTTTCGTCCGTCGCGTTATTATTTGTAAACCTTTAGTTATAAGTCGTGCCCGCGTCCGTATGATTTGGTCGCGTTTCGTCCGTCGCGTTATCCTTTGTAAACCTTAGTTATAAGTCGTGCCCGCGTCCGTATGATTTGGTCGCGTTTCGTCCGTCGCGTTATCATTTGTAAACCTTAGTTCTAAGTCGTGCCCATGTCCGTATGATTTGGTCACGCTTCGTCCGTTGCATTACTTGTATTCCTTAGTTATAAATCGTGTCCGCGTCCGTATAAGTTGGTCGCGGTCCGCACTTCCTGCGATTCTCCTCTGTACGCGTAGACTAGATAATAAGCCAACTCTTGAAGGGCGGCTTCAATAAACTCTGTTTTTACCAGAACGATTGGCGTGGTTATTGCGAACCTGAGTCTCCCCCTCTTCCCGAATCCTGGCACCGACGAGCCGATCCGTGGCGTCGGAAAAGGAGCCCCGTTACAATATTGACGAAGTTACAAAAGGTAATATCGATTACGCCGTCAATACAAGTTTCGTTAACGGTCTCCCTTCCGACCTATTAATCAGAGTTAAATTGGAAAGACCCTTCGCGGTAGATGATGTCTTTATAACCGCTATACAACTTTCTAAAACTTTAGAAGCCGAAAATACGCGCAAACGCGGTAACATATTATCCTATAAAACTCATAACCCTCCTCGCGCCGATTTTTCAACTAAACCTAACACTTCATCGTCAAACATTAATTTTAAAATGCAACAAATCTCCCCTCCTCAAACCCCCCGAAATAATATAACTCCTTTCATAAAACCATTAATCCCTAAACAACCGGGACCTAACTATCCTGCCGAAAAGATTTGCCGATATTGTAAAAACCCCGGACATTTCATGGACGAGTGTCGTAAATTAGCATACAGACGCTCTCTTGAAAGTCGGCCTACTAATTAGGGAAACGCCCAAGACGTTCCGGCAACCAGCAATGCCCGCCGGAACGACATTACACAGGGGCGCCCTGCTTTTCCACTCCGAGCACCAGTCTCTGTAATCCTGTCCCGGACCAGATCCCTTCTTTACCACCCGTGTCGGAAGAATAAACGAAGTACCTAATGGTAGCGTTGTACCCTCTATAACCCTATCATCCCTTGACCTTCAGAGAGAATGTATCTTTATGATCGACTCCGGCTCAGGTGTCAATCTTATAAAACGACATCTTATCAATCCGGAAATTATCATTAATAATGAGGTCCTTACTCTTCAAGAAATATCTTCCGAACCTATCTCTACACTAGGCTTCGTCGTTATACGCTTTCTCGACTCGCCTACATGCTTTCATGTAATTGCTGAGACCGTCTGTTTTCCTCAAGACGGAATAATAGGGAATACATTCCTTAAAACGCGCAAAGCCAGTATAGATTATAAAAATAAATGTTTATTTTACGATGACTCTAGCCTCCCCTTTTTCGAAATTTCTTATATTAATATCAAACCGCGA